CACCCAAGACAAGACAGTGTCCATCTCAGGCGTACCTCTGTATGCTGGCCAGAAGCTCTGAGACGTACACAGCTGGTGTGCGGCAAATCACTCCGTGGTATACACTCCGGCACAAAGCTTGATTTTGCATCACAGGGCTTCTCCAAATCCTTCCGGATGGGCCTAATTCTCCAACACTCGGACAGAGAGACCCGAGCGAACAAAAAGAACAACTCCACTACCACGACATGACGATAATCGATCCGTTCGAAACATTGTGTATCCGTGGAGTGATATTTTGGAGTCCCGGACATCCGGTGTCATCCAGGTCTCAGTGATTGCAAAAAGATCGGAATTGTGGGATACAACCCAGTCCTCCAGCTCATCTCCTTTTCCCAGCATCCCTCCGGTATTGGTTGAGGCTAGCACAGCGTGGTTACCTCGCCATTCGCGCCTCAATATGATTTCCTCGTCCGTGATTAAACAGTCTCCTGGGTCCTTCCCCCGAACAAGGGTAGCCAACGCAACTGAGGGAGCCTCNCGAAAATCCCGTATAACAGATCAGTTTCCCCTTTTGCACGGCGCTCCCTGAGTTCTTCTAATGGATTTTGAATTTACAGCGCTGATCCGGATCAAGATCCCTGAGGAATCGCACCGGAGTTCCCTTCAGCTTGTGGGTCCGCTGGAGTATCACTTTGGCCTCTATTTCTGCTCGAAGAACCACTTTCAGTGGTCGTGGATAATTATCCTAGCGGAGTTTTCCAAGCCTGAATACCGCTTTTACTCTGATCGATGCCGATGGTTCCTCCTCGTCGCCATCAAACAAAGCTTCAGGTCGTGGTCCAGGCGAGCCTGGGCAGTGGTGGCCTCGGCCTCCGGAAGACTGACAATAATAAGGCACTGAGATCTCGGAGAGAGCTTCCTCTGCTGCATAGGTTCCTGCGAATCGCGGGGGCACCTCTCAACTGTCCGTTCAGTAAAAAATAAACAGTGAATAGATAGAGTGAGTTACAGAAAATATAGATAATCTTTCAAACATCCGGGTCTTCAGAGGGGCCTTTGACAAAGAACGGTCCGGGGTGTTTCCAGGTTTGCACTGTCAGGACAGAACCCCTACCTTTCAAGTGTGAAATGCAACACCCCGAAATGCGTTGACATTGTTATACGCTCCAAACAAATTGAACTCCACCAGTTATGCCGATGCAATAGTAATTCAACGTCATCAACTAACCCACCACCACCAACCCAAAGGTATGCACATTACTAAAACGACCAATCAGTTTTGTCACATCATTTTTGTTGTTCCTTATCCTCGATTCCCTGTTCACATAAAATGTTTCATCTTGCTTCTATTCGCTTCCTTTCCAGTAAGCAGTTATAGTGAACACAGTATGCGGATGTAAAGCCACATCGAAGTGATGCATTAGGCAGGGTGAGCAACAACATGCTTGGCTAGGTCTCCTAGCTTGTTCTAGTACTTACCAAGGCTTGTGATGATTGGAGGATAACTGATGTGTGAACTCTGCAACCGGTAGACTGGAACAGTGTGAGCATGTTAGGTATCATCGTTAAGGTTTTCATGATCCGGACAGATATGCGTTTTAAATAAGGATAGGGGGGGACGGGGAATGGTTTGATTTTGTGGCTCATAGCTTTCGTTCCTGCCACGATTCGAACTGTGAATATTCGGGATAGGGGACAGAAATTCGTGCTTCTGTGATGCACGGCTGACGACCGATATCCTCAGAAAATATCAGGGACACAAAGCAAAGGTACTGTTTACTAGTCCCAAGCAAGGACGAAACAGCTGTTCTGTGTTCTCCTTGTTGATCACCACCTTGGAATTTCCTTCGCAAAAATAGAGAGAGAGCGGGAGTACTGAATGCGTGGGAGACGAGTGAACTCTCAGGTGTTAAAGATCACAACCAAATACGTTGAGATCATTCGCACCTCAGTGTCACGTCATCCAAAACTTAACTTTCCGCTGGTAGCAACCAATAAATCGCACACTTTGTGGCGACAACAATTAATGTTATTTTGGGGCTTCCCATTTTGATAAGGCGGACGGGGATAGTTGTAATGTTGTAGTCAGTGTGCGTTAGTCGAAATAGATTGGAATCGCGGATAGCAATTGCAGACCAAGCACGGAATTACACTTTCATTCGTATGGCGGAATATCCGATCACCGAGATGGAAAAAGAAAGCGGTTCATTTATTGCTAGAAATCAGTGGGATTGAATGATACGTACAAATAAAAGTCATTGATTAGACAGGTCTTCACCAATAAACTGCTTGTATTTTCGGCGTTACACAGCTTCTGATTGAGCCGAACGGTTTCCGACTTTGTTGGTCTGTTGTTTGTCGTCCAGAAATTGTAACGCATAGAATCTTGGCTGGGATTATCTGGAAGGCTAAGATCGCCACACAATGTTAATTTGAAAATAGAGAATTCGTGAACAATAAAGTTGCAAGGACATTGAGTAGACTTCTGGGGCGCTAATGTTTACAACATCTAGCTCAGTGTCTCCAACCGTCGGTCACGTTGATCCCGAGGTTTTCACTTTAGAGGCCTGAAGAAATCTATATGGTCAAGTCTCCTGGTCGGGGTTTTCATATTATCATGCCAAGTGTTAGTTTGAGCACCCTTGACTTTTCACGTCCATTGTCTGACTCGGTAAATACAACAAACACACCGTGGGAACTGATTTGATGATATAGTAAGTTATAGTAAGTACGCCAACTAACGAAATCTATGTTGGTCCAACGCGTAATCAAGTAGACGATCGCAACTTTCAAAGTCTTTGCACCTACTCTCAGGATTGTCTTCCCGGTTGCCCTACCAAACTTGCTCCACGTGGCATAAACAGTGGTCTTTCAGCACCAACAATCCATCTTCAGCCTGTTCCTGTACTGATTAAACTTCTCCGCCATACAGTAGCACTGGCCGAAATTCTGTAGCATACATTCAACCTATCATCGACATCCGGATGTCTCCGCAACGCCGGACCCAAGTTGAAGAATTTTAACTACCAGATGACCTATTATCTCTGATAGCATGAGAGTGGGAGTTGGGCCAAGCAAATAGATGCCTCTTTCCACGCACGAGAAAGCGGTTGCTTCCAGGATACCTGATACACTCCGTCGAATCGAAAGGATAAAGTGACCTGAAATACCTTACAAGCACACCTCCCAAGAAGTAGACGTGCGTTGGAGATTGTTTAAGAGAAGCATATTGTTTCCGTGTCACGCATAAAACCCTAATACACTTAAGACACACACGAATTTACGGAGACTATGATTACAGTGATTCGTTTGTATCTGAATACTATCATTATCTGTTCGTGCTAGAGTCGATCGGAAAAAGAGATGCCACTTGGCTCATAAGGGTGACACACGAATGATAAAAGAGGAGGTTGGTTGGTTAAAGGAATGACAGCGATCAATCCTACTCGATATAGTATGCGCACATACGTACACACACAGAGGCGAACAAATATGCATTCACCGGTGGACGGACGAAAAGCAAGCTCTGATTACAAATGACTTATTTCAGAAAGGTCACTATCGATCGGCAAATCTGTAGTACGCATAGATTCAATTTGGAACCCGCTACTGAATATATATTTGACAACAAGTAATATATGATATATATATGTATATATATATTAATCTGCACGGAAGACAGAAGTGAACAAGAACTGCAAAACCTCCGGGAGATTTTAGCGAAAAACGCTTACCCCGAAGCGTTTGTTAATAAGCATAGCAAACCGAAAATTGCGAAAGAACCGATTACGTCAGTTCCCAAATTGCGGGTCACATTGCACCTTCTATTCAAAGGTGATGACGTAAGCCGTCTGCTCTACAAACGACTGATGTCAGCAATCGCTCGAACCTACTACGCAGCCGACCCCCAAATCGTCTACCGAACAACCCGGATACCCACACCCCCGGCAAAAGAACGTCTGTCTCTGTACGCCAACTCTAATCTAATCTACCAATTCCAATGTGATTGCGGAGCCACCTACGTGGGCCGAACAGAGCGACAGTTATGCAATCGGGTGGTGGAACATATTCCGAATTGGATGCAAAATCAGTCGACCCGATTGAGGTCAAGTCCGTTGCATAGAAACGACGGTCGAAACTATAAGACCCCGTCCTCAGCAATTGCTTGACATCTGCTGATGACGCAACACCAAGTCGACCGAGGCACAGCGTTTCGAATTGTCCACAAGTCGCAAGATTGCTAAGGTTTGCCGAAGCGATTGCGATTAATCGATGGAAGCCCCCTCTGTGNCCCTAGTGATATTCGTCCTTTTACCCCTCCCTTTTCATGTTTTATCTGTTTTTAATGTATTTTGCTTTACTTTGTTGCCATGCTAAAGCCCTATATAAACACTGTATTTTCTGCAGTATGCACCATGTTGAGATGCAGCAAAATCGTCCTGGGCATAAATCGTGCAGTATTGCCATATGGTCTTTTCTCTTGAAATATATGAATCACTGGACAAAATTTGCCTGGAAGTACACAACTTATTTCGTGGTTCTTTCAGCTCTTCCACTTCACTCATATACTTGTGACCAGGTAGTGCATTTATGTCACAATAATCTCATTTGCAACTAATTTACATTACATTACATATATATTATATATTGTATTATCATTCATATATATTACATTTTAGGTATCCTCATATGAAAATCATACTTGAAAGTGCTTTATTGCAAGCCATGTCCTCGTATCCGTACTTTTTCGATAGAGTGTGGCCCCACCCCCTATTATTACACCAAACGTCAATGGCCTCATTTGTGTTACTCCAACAAACCAGGTCACAAAATCGGAAGCCGCGCCCACGTACTGTGTGAAAAAAACACGGTGTGTTCTGATTGGTTATTTTGTAGACCGACCTGGTTGGTTATTAGTGTGCACGTCCAATAGGTGCTAGCGTTGCGGTAAACGGTAGACGGCAAACTTAAAAGAGAACAAAAAGTTTGGTCAAAACTGCGCAAAACTTGTCATTGTCATGATGAGATCATTCACGATGCTATGGATTCTCTTGTTCTGGTTTTGCACATGTCGACTAATTCGAGCCAACCCAATTCGCGGCATAGAACAACATCCGATTATTTTAATCCCCGGCGATGGTGGAAGTCAGGCCTACTGTCACAAGAGTAATCAACCTGAGAGTAAATCTACTTTAATATGGGTGAATTTGTGGTACCTCGTTGTTCGACCGTCTGTTATGGATCAAATGAAGTAAGTCTGGTCTTACTTGTCATTTGTCACACCCTTCTTACCCCACCTGAAAACTAGACTGGTTTATGATCCGAAAACGGGTAACACTTCCGATATCGGCCCATGCCAGATCCGTTTCCCTGGTTGGGGTGAAACATGGTCTATCGAGAATTTGGACACTTGGAAGCATTCCTTCACCGCGTACTATCAGTATCTGGTTGCCGCGTTACGCAAGGATCCGTTTTATGTATCGGGAAAAACATTGCGTGGGGCTCCGTACGATTTCCGTCGTACTCCGTGTAAGTGTTGTCACACTCGTACTGGTAACCAAGTTCAAAGAAACTCCAAAAAATATCTACTCAACTCACTGTCTGTGCACACTTTTTTCTGTTCCAGATGAGAATACTGATTTCGTTCCAAATTTGAAGGAACTGGTGGAAGAGACCTATGCTAATGCCGGTGATCGCAGAATTGTTTTAATTGGACATAGTTTTGGATCAGTGTATGGTCTACACTTTTTACAAGCAATGAATGACTCTTGGAAAAGGCGGTTCATCCAATCGTATGTCTCCATCAGTGGTCCGCTTGGCGGGTCTGTGAAAGCCATTCTTCTGGAAGCGTATGGTGAGTTTGCTAAACCTCTTCGATAGTCGGTTTTGTGAACGGGTGTGTATTTGCAGTTGTGTGTAAAAAT